GCACATTATGCAGACAAAAATACACTTATCCACAAATTAAGGATTCATTCCCACAAAGTAAGAATTTGTTCGCTTGATTTTTCAAACTTATTCTCTTATTTTAGTTAACTCGTGCCCACAAATTAAGAATTTGTACCCACTAATTAATTTGTTCCCTTGTATTGATTTAATTTAAAAAGGGAACAAATAAGTGTAATATAATATAATCATGAATCATGACTTATTGTACAAACAAAAATAGTTTTAGCAACTTAAAAAAAACATTGTGGGTCTAGTTCAAGTCAGGAACTGAAATCAGGAAGTCAGATTTAGACTTCTGTAAGCAGTCATGCTTTAGACAGCAGAACAAACCACTGTTAAAAATCGCATCACACTACTGCACTGATGTGTCTGCCATTTCACAGCAGCTGTTAAGATTGCCACCTAATGGAGACCTCTTCATTAACTCCCAGTGATCCAACTGTTATGTGTAATGCGAAAATATTTAGGTTTGAATGAACATTGAAGTTGCCTCTTACTGTACAGTCATGATTTTTCATATGAAATGGCACTAAAGCTAAGTGGAAGCGATACAATGATTCTTCCATGTTTATGAGGCATTAGTCACACTGCATCTCACACATATACAACTTCCTTCATTGTTACCACAGAATCATTGTTTGTTTGCATGTTTTTGTTTTGCTGCGATGGCTTTTAGGTGCGTTCAACTGGATATACAGACACAAGAACTACCAGAGTATCTGTTGTAGGGGAGTGTGATGTGTGTGTGTACTGTTTATTAAAGCTGCAGTCCATAACTTTTTTAAAAATGATCCAAAATCACATTTTGATAAGTACACAACCAGCCAGTGTTCAAAACTATCGCCTTACTTTAGCTCGATTCACAGCGGTAAGCTTGTAATAAACTTTTCTCATTTGAGTGGTACGGGTAGGTTTTCGTGGGAAATTCAAGCATGGCGCTGCGTCATTACGTCACGTCTGTAAACATAAAGAAGTTGTCCCGGCTAGTATGCTATATTGCACGTGAGGATGCTGCAGGTGACGGGTCGTTTATAGCCTTTTCTCACAGCAGCTGGAATAAATGGAGGACTGAATTTGAAAACAAAGTATATCAATAATAATAATTGGCACAGTTTGATGTGATATGAGCTAACCGATCGTTAGATTTAATCACCATTGATAGCGCAAATTGTTGTAATGCTTTTTTCCTCAGTTGATCAGAACAAAAGTGTCAGTTGTTACTTATTTGTTCAGATGACATTCTCCAGTGAAAACTCTTATTTGGTTCATACTTTCAAGATGTGGAATCTGTGAATACAAAGTGCAGTATCCACACCGGTGCGGTGACTGACAGCCACACATTAGATTCATCCACGCTGGAGCCGTGCCGGTGCACAACCCACACAAGGAAGATAATTTCGCAAATAGCTGCAATTGCAGGTTTTCAAACAGAGATGGCGACAAAGAGGCAAAACTTATGGACTGCAGCCTTAATATGATGTAATTGTATATAAGACATTTATAGTTTTATTTGAAAACAACACATTTTTCTGACACCAAAAAGTTTTCCGGAAATAGTGTTTTCACATATAGTTCATTTTAGAGGAACCAAACCCAGGTCACTTACAGTGAACCAGAAAAAGAACCAGCCGAAAGTGAAGCTCGTTAGATTTAATCACCATTGATAGCGCAAATTGTTGTAATGCTTTTTTCCTCAGTTGATCAGAACAAAAGTGTCAGTTGTTACTTATTTGTTCAGATGACATTCTCCAGTGAAAACTCTTATTTGGTTCATACTTTCAAGATGTGGAATCTGTGAATACAAAGTGCAGTATCCACACCGGTGCGGTGACTGACAGCCACACATTAGATTCATCCACGCTGGAGCCGTGCCGGTGCACAACCCACACAAGGAAGATAATTTCGCAAATAGCTGCAATTGCAGGTTTTCAAACAGAGATGGCGACAAAGAGGCAAAACTTATGGACTGCAGCCTTAATATGATGTAATTGTATATAAGACATTTATAGTTTTATTTGAAAACAACACATTTTTCTGACACCAAAAAGTTTTCCGGAAATAGTGTTTTCACATATAGTTCATTTTAGAGGAACCAAACCCAGGTCACTTACAGTGAACCAGAAAAAGAACCAGCCGAAAGTGAAGCGAAACCAGCCTCTTTTTTTTTCTTTTGGTCCTCCTCAGCACTGAAGTGATCTCATTCACCTTCTTGTTCACCACAGCTTCATAAGAACTCAGACCCCAGCTTTATGTGCAGCAATGGAATGCTGGAGTCTGACCTGGAACTTTTGAAAGATGAGTGGACTAGAAAGCTTCCAACAAATTTCTCAGAAATACAACTTGGATAACCAAGACCTTTTCCGATATCTTCAAGTTAGACATTACTCCAACAAGAATATAAAAGACGTGGAAGGTACGGGATCCACAATAGTACAGATATTTGTAGATCCATATAAAAAGAAACCGAATAAGAAAATTGTATCAAGAACTTATTCCTGTTAAATGTAAACTAAAGACCACTCAACAATGTATGTAAAACAAATTGGGAAAGGAAGCCAATATAAGTATAACAGAAGAAGAATGGCAAACTATGTGAAAAACACAGATGACGACAACAAAAACACCTGAAAAGAGATGATGCAACCCCTCAGAGGACCTCAGATGATGCCAACCCTGAAACAACATACAGAACTACCAACTTTTGCTATATGTTTGATTGCATCATATAATAATTGCTGTTAATAGTGTTCATCGTCTGTTTGATTACGTCTTTAATTGATTTTTTCCATACATTTCTGCCATATGTACATTAACTAACAGTCACCACTGATAAGCTACAACTAAATATTGTAGAAACTTAATTTTCTGTAAAGTTGCTTTGCAACGATTTGTATCGTGAAAAGCGCTGTACAAATAAACTTGAATTTAATTGAATTGAGCAAATTCAGGTTTATACAGGAGGCAATCCGCTTGGAAAAATATAATAAGGTTTTTCATAACCTCCAAAGTAAAATATTTGCAAAATGGGAATCAAAAGGTTGGTGAATGCTGGAGAAAATGCAGAAATGTAATAGCTGACCATTTTCACATCTCTTGGGATTGTAATATTATTCATAATTGGCGGGATTTGAATAGAGAGATGAACGCAATAATGGGATTGAATCTTGAATGTAACTTTAAAACAATGTACTTGGGTTTTTCTCCCGCAAAAATAACAGAGAACAACATTTTGATCTTATCTTTCATGTCTAGTATACAAGCTAGAGAAGCATTTCTATTTCTCTTTTGCCGAAAAGCGCTATACAAATCAACTTGAATTTAATTGAATTGAACAAATTCAGGTTTATACAGGAGGCAATCCGCTTGTAAAAATATAATAAGGTTTTTCATAACCTCCAAAGTAAAATATTTGCAAAATGGGAATCAAAAGGTTGGTGAATGCTGGAGAAAATGCAGAAATGCAATTTTCACATCTTTTGGGATTGTAATAGGCTATTATTCATAATTGGCGGGATTTGAATAGAGAGATGAACGCAATAATGGGATTGAATCTTGAATGTAACTTTAAAACAATGTACTTGGGTTTTTCTCCCGCAAAAATAACAGAGAACAACATTTTGATCTTATCTTTCATGTCTAGTTATACAAGCTAGAGAAGCATTTCTATTTCTCTTTTGCCTCTTGACATATAATAGGGTTTGTTGTTAGTGGTTAGCTTCTGTTTCCTCAAGAAAGAAGTTGATTCTGAGAATCGAAGTGGCTATGTTTTCCAATCCTGAAATTTTTTACAACACTAAACATTCTAAATCAGTATTCAAACACAATATTATATTAAGGTGTGCATTCTAAAATAACATCTACGTGTGTAGTTAGAGCCTGCCCAAGCAACATTAGAGCGCCACCCTCAGGCTTAATCATGCAGAAACACTAGACCTCTGCCTCACCTAAATTTATGGTCGGGACCTGTAGAACTTTCCACTCCCCTCAGTGCTTTTATGGAATTACGGTCTGACACGAATTTGCCCTGTTTAGTCAGTCTGGCCCTTGATGTCTTAATTGCATTAGATAACAGAAAATCTAAGTGCCATTTTTTAAAAAGAAATATAGCACTACCACACTTTTAATTATATTTCAAAGGAATGAATGAACTGATAAAATGTATATATTACCTTCAATGCAAAGTAAGCTGCTTTGGATAAAAGCATCTGCCAAATGCTTTAATGTAAATATACTGTCCAAAATCTAAAATAAAATGTTGTGACACTTGTGGTCATGGTTAACTGAGTTACAGCCAACCATGACAACAACCACTAATTAACAGTCATTGCAAAGGAGAAAAAGAAGAAGAAAAAAAGTGAAGTTAGTTGAGAAAAGATCAAGCATCTTTTTTTTGTAGATGCCATATGGTTTGACATTGTGTTATTTTGTGTGGTTTCAGTATGCAGATCTTTACATACTGTATATGGCAATAACATACCACGTGTTTAGTTTCCAGAGTAGTTTCTGTTTTTGTTTTCATCTAAATAAGTTTGAGGATATTCCTATTTCTCATCCTTTATTCATTCTGAGCAGCCCTTGTTTCATTAGGGAAGTAGTAAACTCGCATCATGCTGAGTAGGAGTAGGAAGAGTCACAACTGACTGAACACCGGAAAGTTTCGTTCTTATTTTAATGCTCATGTTTCCGCCACAGGCTGAGCTGATATAAAACTGATTCTTGTGACATCTCACTGTTTCCAAGCAACATTGCAGAGTTTCCTCTGTTGCCTTTTGTAACTTGTGGTTCTATATGCATCTTGTTGTCAGTCAAAATGTGCAGAGTGTAAAAAGTGTGAGAAAGTGTATTTTGCTGAATTCAGAAGTGGTTTATTCCAGCAGAGTAGATGTGAGAAAGGAAGGATGTGGTGCAAAGATGAAATGTTCTTAAAGTCTTTCTTTAAAAAATTGTACACATGTACATGGAGAGATGTTTGTCGAAATATGTTTCTACACTTAACTTGAGTTTCCTCCATCATTTTGTCTTTTTAGGTTTATTGCTCTTTTGTTTTATTCCTGATTAAAACCCAGAACCTCTGAGGTTCAGCAGGAATTAGTTTTTTTTCTCATCAGTGTGACACTGAACTTCAGTTTCTACTAGGAAGTCAATGCGGCGGCAGTCATTTTGAGTTCTGTTTCTTTTTAAGTTTTTAATCTTTTTAATTTAGGAGAATGTCAGTAAATCACCTACTCTTTTTACTTTTTTTTCTTCTGACCTCCAAAACAGGTAAAAAAAATTTGTTTATTATACAAACGCAACGTGCAAAGTTTTGCGTTAAGCGTTTATCCACTGACTACAGATCTTTTATATCATTGTCTTTGTCCATTTTACGTGTTTTATTTGTAATGATTTTCTATGGGAGGAAAATGTTTTAACGTGCAATTTAACACATTGCGTTCTGGGCCCGTCTGCTTGCCTGTACGGAGTTGATCCTTTTAATAACACTTAATTTTCATAATGCACGTTCATATTTGCTGGTCTGTGTATACTTTGAGTCAACAACAAGACTCAATACTGAATACTGAATTGTCTTTATCATCTTAGTCTGTTATTATGCCACATCAAGCATTTTGCTGGAGGACAAGTGAAAGTTGGCACATTGTGTTTATGGTCATCTGCTTGCCTTATAGTACATTAAATAATAATATATCAAATTTGATCTTTTAATTGCACGTAATGTATCTTAATACATTAAGCCATATTACTTAAGTTTTTCTACAGGAGGAAAACGCTTAACGAGAGACTTTGTGCATTACGTTCATATTCTGCTGTTCTGTAGCCATGGATTTGTGGGTCTTGTCTTTTTCTTGCAGGACCCTGTATGTTATAGTACTAAATTAGTTTTAATCGTTTAATCACCACCACAGCGTCTTGCCTCCATTGGAAATGCACGATTTGTGTCGATTGCACGTGACGTCACAGGTAGCGGAGAGTACAAGTGAAGATTGCAAGTGACATTGTAATTTAGTTTATTTTTTCTTGTCTTCCCCACCTGGCTACTGTTGTAAAATGTTGAGAGATTCAAACAAAAAGTAATCAATAAATTGAACAAAATAAAAAAAACTGCAAGTGACATCACTTGCGGAAGCGCAAGTGTCTGAGAGTGCAAGTCTGAGAGAGTGCAAGTGCAAGTCTGCAGCCAGACCCTTCTCCAAATTGACGTGGTTCATCGCGTGGGAAGGAGGCAGCAGCAGTTTTAACATTAAGTGACATGACATCTGACGCACAGATGCCATTGGCACATGCCACTATGCTCAGTGACACTTGTCAGTGGACAGTGGCATGTGTCACTAAAACCTGTGACACATGTCAATGGACTGCGTCTTGTGTCAGTTGCTGCGGTGCGTGTCGCACCTTCGGTAGTGTCTGACACCTGCTGCTGGGTGTTGCTGCAAAATGTAGATTGCGTGACACGCACTTAACGGCAAAACAGTATTCAATTAATTAACAGTATGTTGCTGTCAAACATACGTTTGATTAAATATCGGAGTACATTTGTACAAGAAATATTGAGTTCCTATATTAAGATTAAAATGTGTCTTATGCCCCTTGATGAGTATTTTTCATTGTAAGTTTATTTCCAGTAGCCAGTTCCAGTTTTGTGCAATGCATTCAAATACGTAAATACGCGTTTTTTCATTTTTGCATAGATTTGACAGTTCAGCTGTATCATTTGTAATTATAAAATAATATAGAGACTATGCAGAGGCCATAACATAAAAAAAAGATACGTTTTAATCAACCCTTGCGAAAAAGAAGTTTATTCAAGTGTGCTATTAGTATACTTCTTTTAAACTTAAAATAGGAAAGTATACTTTTAGTCTACTTTTATGTACTTCTCAGAAATATACTTAAAATGACATTTAAGTATACTTGACTTATACTTAGAAAAAGTCTAAATATATTTTAGCTTGTGCTCCTAGAATCCGTGTTTTCATTGTTATACGGTAGGGGTGCTAGTACACATCTTCTGTACAGCATTTCCAAAAAACACAAGTGAAGAAGAAACCGAAACAACAGATGCTTCCACATGTAATCTAACACAAAACTGTGTAACGTTATGGAATAAAATGTTGACCAATGTAGAGGTAATAATAACTGTCAAGCTTTGGGGTGTTGATCGACTCCATCTACGTTTTGATTATCATTCTGAATCCAGTTCATAGTCTTTTTTCAGCTTTTTGTTCATTTATTTATGAAACTTATCCACATTCAAGTGTTTAAAAAAAGAATGCATGAAGCTAGAATAAAATGTTTTTGTTTACAAGCAGATACCCTGTTCTTTTGATTATTATATGTTCAGATATTCATGTAACAAAATATATACAAATTAATACCTAAATAGGGACATAGTAGTATACTTAAAATATGATGTAAAGTTCACTTAAAGAAAACTTATGAGTATACTTGCAGTATAAAACTACTAAACAAGTAGTCTACTGAGACTATACTTCAAAGTGTACTAAAATGCTAAAAACGTATTTAATTAGTAAACTGTCAGTATACCTAAGTTCACTTTTAGTATAGTTGCACTACAAGCTAAAAATATTGATGTAAACTAGTTGTGTACTCAAAGTTTACTACTGTTATACTTAAAGTATACTTAAAAGTATACTTTTATGTACTAGAAAGTGGGCCAATTTAGTCCCAAGTAGTATTGAAATAGTACACTTACAAGTATACTACTAGTGCACTGATATTTGTATACTTACTACATAAAGTATACTTAAAAATATACTTGAACTTTACTTAAGTATACTTAATAAAATAAACTTGGAAGTATACTACTTTTTGGTAAGAGTAGTCAACACTAAATGGTTAAACAATTCGTTTACTTTTTTAATAAAACCAATGCAATAATTTGCAGCAATTGAACATATTTAAAGAGATCAACATATTTCATAACAGGTAGCTCTATTAACAACACACACATTAATGATGTGAGTCTCCATTCAGGCTCTGTTAACTATTTAAACCTGATCAATAGCGCCGCCTGCTGGGGTTATGAAGATTAACACGTAATATCGAGATGTAATAATGTGGTCTCAAACTCGGACTGTATGAGAGCTCAGTATTTGTCTTGTCTGTTCATTGCCAGTTATTTTAATCAGTGGTATCTTTAGTGTGATATTAAAAAGTATGAAAGTATAAATATGCTGTTATGCAGCATTGCATTTTTATAAAGGCCAAGAGCCTTGTCAATAGCACCCTAATAAGTCATGCACACAGTTTTAGAGCAGCAGAATTGTACACCTTTTTTGCCCATATTTAGCTCAGAAATTAAAATATATTCCTGATTTCTGACCTCTGTTCATTCTTAATGATCAAATTCCTCATTGTCCTGTCAAACTGACCTGCAAAGCTTCTCACATGCTCACATATCAGCCAGCGGGAACAAGAAAGTGTGTGCAAGTTTAACATTTGATACTTGCCAATCAGGAATTAGCCTACATATAAATATAAACTGATGAGAAAATTCCACAAACCATTATGATGTCTACTATTCTAACGTTTTCAAAAAAGAAGTGTACAACGGGTCTAGTGAATTCACCAGCTGCACTCAGAAAACAAGTATCTTTCTTTCTCCTCAGGGTTCAGTGCTGAGATCTCTGTGTTTGTGCAGACGGGAGATTCTGTTCAGCTGGATATAAAGACACAAGAACTACCAGAGTTTGATGATTTATCCTGGAAAAAAAATAAATCAGAGATTATAGTTAAATATACAAGTGAAACTAAAGTAAGACTTCACTCTTCCTACAAGGACAGAATGGATTTCAATAATAAAACCTTCTCTCTGACTC